CTGCGCTGACTCTCTCTCTCTCTCTCTCTCTCTCTCTCTCTGGCGTAAACAAGGAAAACGACGAATAAAAACCCGGTCCTTTGGCAGACAACGTGACAAAGATCCCGCCATAGCCTTTTAGTACTGAAAAAAAATAAGACAACTGCGAAAAAAAAAATGCTCCTTCTCCTGCTATAAACACGAGTTTCTCAACGCTACGTGTGGACAGGCGGTTCCTCAATTTCATGTGAACGAAATCGTGGGTGGCCCAGTTCCTCTCACAAGGACTGGCCGTGGACCACATGCCCACCACTGCCCACGGAATGCTCTGCAAAATGGGCTGCTGGCCACCGTGAAGACCCCACCACGTCGAGGGATGCATCTCTTCGCGTCGGTGGTAGCGAACTGGTCCCACCAGTGTTGAGCAGCCTTTGGCCAATATCGGAGGTCGTCGCTGTGAAAAGTCCACAGGGCCCCACAAATCCTCCATGGCCTTCGTGTCCCACCCTCCGACAACACGAGCAAAGTGCTCTAGCGCTGACTGCACAACAGGCCTGCTACCGTCCTCAAGCAATGAAATGCCGCGCCGCCGCGAATCCAACAGGTAAGCAGCTGCATGAGCAGGCTGCCGCATCATCGCGCACCGATCCCTCACGATAGTCATCACCGCGTCCCTGTCAAAGTCCGACAACTGTAGTGAATGAAGTCTTTGCTGGAGGATGACCTCCAAATCCCACAGGCCAGTGGCTGATGAGCCATCCTTGTCAAGATCCCTGAGGAACGCGTAAACGGGACCCATGACATCCATCACCGTCCTCACGCCACTCCAAAAGCCATCATCCCTGCAAAGCCTGCGGACATGAGGCATCCGCTCTCGAGCATCCCCGACCCATCGCACCCTAGCCCACCTCTCCGACGACACCAATGTGTCCAAGACCTCCCTCTGCTCGTATAGCCTCTCCAACATCATGTATGCTGTCCCGAAATGTGTCTCCATCGGTCGCCTGAGCACCAGCGCCTTCTTCATTACTTTGTGAAGTGCAAGCGCTTTTTGTTTGTTGCGCATGAACTTTACAATCCTGTGCACGTCTTTCATCGTCTATCGCGCGAAAGGTTGTGCGGCAATGTCCCTCATTAGCAAAATCAGGCAGTGTGCTGCACACGAGATCCAGGGAATGCGACGCATAGCAGGATCTGGGTGTGTCTGTAATGTGTGCACCGCGGTTTTCATGACCTCGGCGTTGTCCGTGCATATCGCATTGACATTCTCGATGCCAATATCATGTCGAATCACGTCCTCCCAGAACTCTGCTAAGCTAACGCCAGTCTTGTCGCGATGCGACATGTCAATCGTTCGGATGAGGATGGGTCCGAAGTCCCTTGCTGCGATGAAGTTCATAATGGGCTTGTTTGTCGCGTCATTAGCCCCGTCCGTCATCAGCGTGCAGCCGGAAGTAGCCCACTTTGCCTTCTTAGGGGCGATGAGGGTTGCAACCTCGTGGAAGATAATATCCATCATCCTCGTCCGGACCCCCTCATACGAGAGGAGTCGTGGAACTGGTACTATCGTGGGACGGAATAGAGTGCATATGTAATCCCACGACTGGTGCGTCTCGGGCAAACGCAGCCAGTTGAACGCCACTCCACCACGATAGATAGCGAGGGCCCACAACCGATGAAGATCCATCTAGATCTTCTTCCCTATATGGGGATCCAGAGTCGATTGTCGCCTACCCACTACGGATGTGGACGCGGTCGCTGCACTAACACTACGGCCGCTTGCCTCAATACCACCACTCACACCTCCTACACTTCCTGCTACACGGGGTGGCGCGTCCTGAAAACCCGCAGGCTGAGTGCCGCCTCGTGACCCGCCGCCACGCTGATGAGCTGCATCCAAATCGTCGTCCAGGCTGATCGTCCCCCCACATGTATCGCCACCATCTGCCCCTCCGGTAAGCGAGATGCATCCGCTCCTCCAGCACGCGAAGGTAACTCAGGCGTCGTATGCTCCTCCTTTCCGCCCCCCTCCTCCTCCATGTAATGACGGAGGTCGTCCGCAGCCATAACACCCTCCACCCTCTCCGCGTATTCCGAAGCCAGGCGCCGCGAGATGACATCTCTAAGTACTACCCCCGCCCTTTGCAACTCGTACAACATCTCTCCAGTCCGGCGTTGGCAGTATGTCTTCTGCTTGGTGAAATGCTAAACTCCACGAGACCTAGATCCCGTGAAAACCTCCCGGCACAGACGGCAACGGATAAAGAAGTTGCCCCCGCCTGACTTCCCCCACTCCTGGCCCCTCTCGACCCACTCCCACACCACATGATCGCGCCTCAATTCATCCTGCTTGTGCTGAGGTACAGGCACAAATGGTGGTAGCGGGTCACCTCTACGCCGTGTACTGGCGGATGCCATAGCTCCAAAAAGGTGACAGTGGTGCGGTGAAAGCACGACTACTGTCTGCAGCTATGCACTACTGCCGACGCACGCCTCTTTAGCCTGTACTCTGCAGAACATCGACTTGTCCGCGTCTGCTGCATGGAAAGAAAAGAAGGAAGGGAGAACAATTAGAAATGGCATCCTGTATGGATGAAATGTTTGTTGATTGAACTTCATTGATTGATTGATTGATTGATTGATTGATTGATTGATTGTTTGATTGATTGGTGATTGATTGATTGATTGAAAGAATGATTGATTCATTGTTTGATTGATTGGTTATTTGATTGATCTTCTCCTCCTTCATGTCCTCTATGTCCTACTCCATCTCCTCCTCCATCCCCTCCTCCATTTCCTACTCCATCTCCTCCTCCATCTCCTACTCCATCTCCTCCTACTTCATCTCCTCCTCCATCTCCTACTCCATCTCCCCCTCCAGCTATCTCCCCCTCCCGTTGTCTCCCCCTCCCGCTATCTCCTCCTACTCCATCTCCTCCTCCATGTCATCCTCAATCTCCTTGTACTCCATCTCCTCAATCTCCTCCCCCATCTCCTACTCCATCTCCTCCTCCATCTCCTCCATATCGTACTCCATCTCCTCGTACTCTATCACCTCCTCCATCTCCTACTCCATCTCCTCCTACTTCATCTCCTACTCCATCTCCTCCTCCATCTCCTCCTCCATCTGCTACTCCATCGCCCTATCCCGACTTCTCGTAATCCATATCTCCTGCTCCGTCTCCTCCATTTCCTACTCCATCTCCTACTCGATCTCCTACTCCATCTCCCACAAAATCTCCTACTCCATCTCCTCCCACCTCATCTCCTCCTCCATCTCCTACTTCACCTCCTCCTCCATCTCGTATTCCATCTCCTCCTACTCCATCTCGTCCTCCATCTCCTCCCACTCCATTTCCTCCTCCATCTCCTCCACCATCTCCTACTCCATATCCTACTCTATCTCCTCCTCTATGTCATCCTAAATCTCCTCCATATCGTACTCCATCTCCTCGTACTCCTTCTCCATCTCCTCCTACTTCATCTCCTCCAACTTCATCTCGTCCTACTTCATCTCCTCCCCCATCTCCTCGTACTCCATCTTCTCCTACTCCATCTCCTCCTCCATCTCCTCGTAGTCCTTCTTGCACTAAAGGAACCGTCGATACAGACGGGGTCAATCATCTATTGATTGATTGATTGATTGATTGATTGATTGATTGATTGATTGATTGATTGATTGATTGATTGATTGATTGATTGATTGATTTATTGAGAGATGGTTAACGGGTGCATATATTTTCAGGTCTCCTTTCCAGGTAGTTCGGCTGCTTTAGGTTACAACACCACTTTCAGATTGTGTGTGCATCTATACATGGGGTCGTCTGAAACCGCCTTCAGGCAGTTCAGCCACTTCAGGTTGATACACCACTTTCAGATTGCCTACAGATCCATTGCAAATGGTTGGATGGGGGTACTTGAAACCCCTTTCAGAAGCTTCAGCCACTTCAACGGTTTCAGGTCCCCACCTGAAATTCCTGAAATAAAATGAAGTGGCTAAAGCTTCAAAAAGGGGTTTCAGGTACCCCCATCCACCTGAAGTGGCTGAAGCTTTTGAAAGGGCTTTCAGGTACACCCATCCAACTATTTCAATGGGGGTACCTGAAACCCCTTTCAGAAGCTTCAGCCACTTCGGCGGTTTCAGGTCCCGACCTGAAATTCCTGAAATGACATGAAGTGGTTGAAGCTTCTGAAAGGTGTTTTAGGTACCCCCATCCAAATGGTTGGATGTGGCTACCTGAAACCCCTTTCAAAAGCTTCAGCCACTTCAGCAGTTTCAAGTCCCCACCTGAAATTCATGAAATGACCTCAAGTGGCTGAAGCTTCTGAAAGGGGTTTCAGGTACCCCTATCCAACCATTTGGATGGGGGTACCTGAAACCCCTTTCAGAAGCTTCAACCACTTTAGCGGTTTCAGGTCCCCACCTGAAATTCCTGAAAATGACCTGAAGTGGCCGAAGCTTCTGAAAGGGGTTTCAGGTACCCCCATCCAACCATTTGGATGGGGGTACCTGAAACCCCATTCAGAAGCTTCAGCCACTTCATCGGTTTCAGGTCCCCACTTGAAATTCTTGTAATGACCTGAAGTGGCTGAAAAAACAGCCAGAAAAAAAAAAACCCATAAAACTTGTCCTGCAAACCACCCGAAACTTCTAAAATGACCTGAAGTGTCTTCAGGCCATTTCAACGGTTTCAGACCACTTCAGAATCTTTCATTTTGAAATTTCAGGTGGTCGTTAACCGCGAGTAGATTTATTGATTTATTGATTGCGGGCGTTGATAGCGACCGTTAATTCTCCACCACCTACGTCGAGTGTTGATTGATTGATTGATTGATTGATTGCGAGCGGGGGTGGGCTGATGCGGCCAGAGGCGGGAGGAGGTGCGGGCGGAAGCGGGGAGAGGTGTGGAGCCAGGGAGAGATGCGGAGGCGGGGAGAGGTGCGGGCGGATGCTGCAGGAGGCGGGAGGAGGTGCGGAGGCGGGGGGAGGTGCGGGCGGAGGCGGGAGAAGAAGACGGGCGGAGGCGAGAGGAGGTGGCGTGGGGAGGCGGGAGGAGGTGGCGTGGGGAAGAAGAAGAATAAGAAGAAGAAAGAAGAAGAAGAAGGAGAAGAAGAAGAAGCAATCAATCAATCAATCAATCAATCAATCAATCAATCAATCAATCAATCAATCAATCAATCAATCGAACAATCAATCGATCAATCAATCAATCAATCAATCAATCAATCAATCAATCAATCAATTAATCAATCAATCAATCAATCAATCAATCAATCGAACAATCGAACGATCAATCGATCAATCAATCAATCAATCAATCAATCAATCAATCAATCAATCTGTCGATGTCGACGGATCATCTCGTTCAAGATCCGTCGATATCGACGAATCTTGAACGAAATAATCCGTCCACATCCATAGATTGACTGATTGATTGATTGATTGATTGATTGATTGATTGATTGATTTTTTTTTTTTTTTTTTTTTTTTTTTTTTTTTTCTTCTTCTTCTTCTTCTTCTTCTTTTTCTTCTTCTTCTTCTTCTTCTTCTTCTTCTTCTTCCTTACTATCGCCCTTATCCCGACTTTCACACCTCCACCGATGTTCCACCGCCCTATCCCGACTTCCCCCCTCCCGCTATCCCGACTTTTCCCGCCTACCAACCTGGCTTCCCCCTTCCCGCTATCCCGACTTTCGCCCCTCCCCCGACT